AAGATCAGGAACACGTCAAGGATGCCCACTCTCACCACTATTGTTCAACATAGTACTAGAAATCCTAGCAACAGCAATCAGACAACAAAAAGAAAGAAAAGGTATTCAAATTGGCAAAGAAGTCAAACTCTCTCTTTTCACAGATGACATAATACTTTATGTGGAAAACCCAAGAGACTCCACCCCCAAATTACTAGAACACATACAGCAATTCAGTAATGTGGCAGGATACAAAATCAACGCACAGAAATCAGTTGCTTTTTATACGCTAACAATGCAACTGTAGAAAGAGAAATTAGAGAAACAATTCCATTTACAATAGCACCAAAACCATAAGATACCTCGGAATAAACCTAACCAAAGAGGTAAAGGATCTACACTCTAGGAACTACAGAACCCTCATGAAAAAAATTGAAGAAGACACACTAAGATGGAAGAGATAAACAAGACAGAAGAAAGGAATATTATTAAAATTATTAAAATCAATAGAGAATGTTACATAGCCATGAAGACCAAAAGAATATTTTATTCACTATTTTTACAATCATTTTATAAGCTGACCTTTTTTATTCTCACAGTGCAAAAGTACAGAATGATACTTTGGGTTGTGCACACAGAAATTGAATTTCAGTATGCTGATAATTGGCTGCATCAACATGATAATGATTTATATTATACTATCATTAACCTATAAATTAATATAAAATCAGTCCCTTGGCACAAGGGATTGGTAAGCTAAGTTAAGAAATCATATTTTTTTCTTTAAAAAAAATCACATTAAGATTCAGATTATCATTCCTATGCTTTATTTGAGTGGCCAATAAGTATAGTGAAAGACTTATTTTTACAAGATTTATTTATTTATTTTGGAGAGAGGGAGTGAGCACTGGGGAGGGAGCAAGGGAGAGGGAGAAGCAGACTCCTTGCTGAGCGAGGAGCACAGAGCCTGACTGTGGAGCTTGTGGGGCTCCATCCCAGGATCACAAGATCATAACTTGAGCTGAAGTCAGACACTTAACCAACTGAGCCACCCAGGCGCCCCGAGAGACTTTTAAAGAATAAAAGCAGCAGAAGAAAAATCAATAAATGCAAACTTCTTTACAGTTGAAAACAAAAAACATAAGCAAATGAGGAAAGTATTTGCAACAACGTTAACAGGCAGTGAATTTTTATTCTTTGTATGTACGGGATTCATAACACTAAGGAAAGCAGTAAGATACCAATAGAAAAATGGACAAAAAGATAACTTAAAAACTAAAAAGGAAGGGAAGTACAAATGTCACTTACAATGGTAAAAAATCAATTAGATACTATTTTTCCTGTATCTCATATTCTAATTTTTTCTAAAAAAGGCATAATGTTAATAGATCTATGGTAAAATGATACTCTCCTGATTTGAGGTGAGAATGTTAAGTTGATACAGATTTTTTCTGGAAAGCAATTTGATAGAATGTAATTGGAGCCTTATAACTACAATATAAAATTACATGTATAGAACTACACTGTCCGATATGGTAGTCACTAACCACATGTGGCTTTTGAAAATTTGGACTATGGCTAGCCTGGATTTCTATACACACACAAACATTATTTTTATGTTCCATATTCAATTTTCTTTCTCTCAGTTTTTAACATTTCCTTTTTGTTAATCTAAAGAATTGCCCTGAAATCTGGTTATGGAAAATACCTTGGTATTAATTCAGATGGACTTGTTGTGGGGCGTTCAGATGCAATCGGACCAAGAGAACAATGGGAACCAGTCTTTCAAGATGTAAGTGCTATTATTGTTCATAAAAGCTTCTTGTTAATGTAAGATACAGTCTTTAACAGTCAATGAGAATATATATTCCAAAAAAAACCCCCAAAAATACAGAGTGCAGTAATATAACCCATTAAATTGAAGAAAACCAATACGAACTCGTAACTAAAAAGGTCTTGAAAAACAGTGCAACACAGCAAAAGAAATAATCAACAAAGTGAAAAGACAACCTACAGGATGAGAAAAAATATTTGCAAACCATATTTCTGATAAAGGGTTAATATCCAAATATATAAAGAGCTGATACAACTCAATAGCAAAGAAACAAATAACCCAATTGAAAAATGGGCAAAAGACCTGACTAGACATTTTTTCCCAGAGAAGATATATGAAAGGCCAACAGGTACATGAGAAGATGCTCAACATCACTAGTCATTAGGGAAATGCAAATCAAAAGCACAATAAGGTATCACTTCCTGCCTGTTAGAATGGCCATCTTCAAAAAGAGATAAATGGTGGGAGGATGTGCAGAAAAGGGACCCTTCATGCACTGCTGGTGGAAATGCAAACTGATGCAGCCACTGTGGAAAACAGTATGGAGGTTCCTCAAAAAATTAAAAACAGAATTATTATAAGATCCAACAATCCCACTTGTGAGAATATATCCAAAGGACACCAAAAAACTAACTTGAAAAGATATCTGCACCCCCATGTTCATAGTGGTATTACTTACAAGAGCCAAGATATGGAAACAACCTAAATGTCCATTGATAGATAAATGGATAAAGAAGTTGTGGTATACACATATCCAATGGAATATTATTCAGCCATAAAAGATGAGTAAACCTTGCCATTTGTAACAACATGGATGGACCTTGCTAAGTGAAATAAGTCAGAGAAAGACAACTGTATGATCTCATTTATATATGGAATCTTAAAAACAAACAAACAAATAAAACTCAGAAAAAGACATCAGACTTGTGGTTGGTTACCAGAGTGGTAGGTTTTGGGATTAGGAATTAGAGGAAGAAGGTGGTCAAAAGGTACAAACTTCCAACTACAAGATAAATAAGTGCCAGGGGTATAATGTATAGCATGATTACTATAGCTACGCTGCTGTATGATATATAGGAAAGTTGTTAAGAGAGTAAACCGAGTTCTCATCATAAGGAAAAAAATTGTTTTATTTTTATGCTTTCTTTTTATTGTTAACTGCATGAGATGATGGATACTAACTAAAACTTATTAAGATAATCATTTCACAATAAGTGTTAAGCCAAACTATTATGCTGTACACCTTAAACTTATGCGGTGATTGTCAATTATATCTCAGTAAAGCTGCGGGAGGAGATAGTGCAACAAAAATAGCAGTAGTACCTCTGCCCACCATAATTTCTGTCCACATAAAAACATCCCTCTGACATTGATTCTTAAAGTTCTGAGCAGTAAATTCAAAAGCACCAAAAGCTAGCTCTTGTATATTTTTGTATTTTCTAATTATGAAGAAATTTTTACTTAAAACACTATTATTTGAATAAATTACTATGCATTATATAATTTTTTATTGTCTTAAAAGCTAATTATTTTTCAAACAGAACTAAATCAGTTATAGCCTCAATATTTCTTTAAGGCCAAAGGAAACAATTCTATTTCATCTAGTTAGAATTCAGTCCTACTAAGAGAATATACTAAAAATAGTTATGAGGTTATTTTTGAGTAGTAAGATTATAGGTGATTTTGGTTTTCTTTTCTGTATGTTTTTTTTTATCTTCTATGTTTTCTCCAAATTCTTTTTACTGATTACTTTTACAGTTGGGGCTAAGGGGCAAAATTAATTTCATTCTCAAGACTTAAGAATTCTTTTGCAGTAGTCTTGTAACTTTTATATTATTTTGTTTGATATAGGGAAAAATGGCTTTATTGGCTTCAAATAGCTGCTTTATTAGATGCAATGAAGCAGGTGATATAGAAGCAAAAAGTAAAACAGCAGGAGAAGAAGAAATGATAAAGGTAATCATGACATTTTTCTTTTAATTTTTTTCTTTTTCATTTTTCTATAGACTAATACATGTCACATATATGATGTGACTATATCTCTTAAAAATGTTGAATAATCATTTACTATCATTTACTAATATTTACTAAATATTTACTATATTTAAAGATGTAATGCATAGTGTTTTATATTATGCTCCAAATAAGCTTTATTATAAAAAGCTTAATTATAAATCCTATAACTGACGGCTTGTTTGTACCATGTGGTAGCGAAATTATTATATCTTACCTCCATGTATTAGTATCTTTTTCTGAGTAGTTCCACATGCTTTTTAGGACTCTGTTTCCTTTTTTTTTCTTGCTTGCTTTTTAAAATTTGATTTTTTAAATAGATATGTTCACATGGTTCAAAATTTTAAAAATACAAGCATATAAATTCATGACTCCCATCCTTCTGTAGCCTACCAGAGTTTCTTAATAAAAATGTTTATAATTTTCTACTTTTTTACAATAAAGTTAGCCTCCTGCGTGTCCTCCTTTAGACCTTGATTTTTTTTTTCCTTAATATTTTTATCTTGGAGATTGTCCCTTATCACTCTGTAGAAAATTTTCTCTTTTTTAACAGCTACATAATACTCCATTTTAGGGATAAGCCATAATTTATTTAATCAGTTCCTCATAAATGCAAATTTAGGTGACTTCCCATCTTTTGCCCTTAGAAACAGTGCTGTAACACATAACTTTGAATATGCATCATTCTGTAGGTGTGCTGGTATATCCGAGGATAAATTCCCAAAAATAGAATTACAAGGTATATGATAAATGTTAGTCAAACATTTTTCAATTACATTAAAAAAAAAAACCCACAAACCGAAACAGAAGCCAGTAGCTACAGGCACTCTGCTGAATATGATACAAGCACTGTCTTCTTGAATCTTCATAAAGTTCCTGTGAAGTATCTATTATCTTCACTTTACCGATGAGGAGAGAGCCTCTGAGCCTCCTTACATCCTCACCTGTTGTGATCAGTCATGAACTCACACAGCTAGATATGATAGAGACAGGATGTATACCCAGGCCCAACTGACTGGAAACTACCATACTGCCTCTCAGGAAACAGGTCATTAGAAAAACGCTGGTGGATTTCTCACTTACCTAAAAGTATGGTTTTTGAAGACAATGCAAATAAAGTGCAGTACTTTGCACTTTCATGGGAAAAATACAAAACAAAAACACTGCTGTATTTAATGACAACTGTTTTTATATGAAGTGTCTGTTACATTTCCCTGGGTCTGTTTGGTTAGGTACCTGGAAGCTCTGAGCAGTGAATGCAGAACTCCTTCCATCTTGCATTTTACTTCATAGGCTCTGCTAGTCTGTATCAGCTGCCCACCTTTATAGCCTATCAGGACACATTCCGTCCTGCAAAAGTAGTACTGTCGCAGGCCCTGGCCAGTAACCTTCCCAGGTCTGCTAGGACCCCCTCAACCAAACCTGCCACACAGGTAGCAGTGGCACATGCCTTATTGGTCACCACTTGCTAAGCAGCCTTGGAATTGGACTCTGAGCCACAAAGATCACTGTGGAGATGTAAATCCTGTCCTCTGGGTTGCAAACTGCCAGTTCTTGGGGCCTGAATTCTGTCCCCTTCTTGCCCCACTCAGTGGATCCTAATTACTATATCAATTTATGGCATTGTGATAGTAAGTATCTGTCACAATTTATGAGGATATAAGGAAGATTTAGAAGGAGTGGATTCCAATTAAGTAAATAAGTGAGCTGTGTCACGTGAAAAGTTTTAATGGATTTGGGAATAGCTGTGCAAATTAAAATAGCTACTATCTTAAACTTCCAGTGTTACAAAATAAACACTATCTATAGGGATAATTTGAATATTTACTTTGAGGCCAAAATTAATTAAATTATTGCCTAATTGCTCAGCAGGATCTGATCTATAAAATGTTTTTCAAATAATTTTGTCTTTTGTGTCTGATGCAAAGGCTCTAGAGAAACATAATAGCAATTTGTATAAATTATGCATATATAAATAAAAACATATCTAGAGGGGCGCCTCGTTGTCTCAGTCAGTTAAGCGTCTGCCTTCTGCACAGGGTCATGATCCCAGGGTACTGGGATCGAGCCCCATGTCTGGCTCCCTGCTCAACGGGGAGCCTGCTTCTCCCTCTCCTCTGCCCCTCCCTCCCCTCCCCTCATGGCTCTCTCTCAAATAAAATCTTAAAAAAAAAAAAAATACCTAGAACCTCTTTCTGAATCTGATTGCTAAGTTGATTGTTTTCTTCATTTGCATAAGAAATTACCTAGAGGGTTCTTAGCAAATAAGTAAAGTGGGGAAGGGGAAGATATATGTATAACCTATTGGGTTTTCATCTCCATTGTCCAGATTAGATCCTGTGCTGAAAGAGAAACTAAGAAAAAAGATGATATTCCAGAAGAAGACAAAGGAAATGTTAAACAGTGTGAAATCAATTACGTGTACGTATTCTTTCCCTTTTAGACCTTACATATTTGGCAATGAAGTACTTCTCAAGACACATAAAATAAAATACCCAAAGGACGAGAGGCAGCATAAAATGGACTCTAGGACAAAGAACTAAGCTGAATGCTTTTCTTTTCTCAGAGCTTCAGTTTTCCTAATTATCCTGCTAGCTTTCAAAGCTAAAGTCACTTGGATTAGTCTGTTCTCCGTATTCATTAATAGAATGACTATAGCTTATTGGTACATAATGCCAACCAAATGTTGTTCCACAGCCAGGATTCAGGACTCCAGCCAACACGCCTTAGTGGCAGTGGGGCTTCGTAGTCCTGCCCTTTGTAGTCCTCTTCATGGAGGAGGACTAAGGTCATCTTCGCAGTTGAAAAGTTGTATGTTTCAAAAGAAAGACAATTAGTTTTTTTTAAATAAATGAAAAACTTTTAAAATATTGTAAGTTCATGAGTAAACATGTATAATCAAAGTTTGAGATGATTTTCAAGAAAGACATTTTCTTAACAGAAAGAAATTTCAGAGCTTCCAAGACCATAAACTTAAAATAAGTAAAGAAGACAGTAAAATTCTCAAAAAGGCCCGGAAAGATGGATTTTTGCACGAAACACTTCTGGACAGGTAGGTATATTTTTACTTATTTCCAACTATTTTCGTATCCAATAGAAATGGCATATATATAACCAGTGTTCTTTTTCAATTATTAAGTTCTTAAATTTTTGTCTTGTAATTTGTGAACATAGTAATGTTACCTAAAAAGGACATAAGTCTGGGAAAAGATCACCCAGGAAACAATATCTAAAAATAGATTCCAAAAACTTACAAATTTTTTTATAAGACATTCAGGTTTGACTGAAACCCCTTCATAAATTTAACATCATCTTTCTATAATTATTAGAACAGGGCTAGAAAGAAGTAGTTTAATTTCAAATACAGTGGGTTTTAGTAGAATAGCAGGTTCCTAAAATGAGATAAAAACAGATCAGTTTAAAAATTACTAAGTATAAAATGAAATAAAATTGAAACACTTTTATTAAGTTGAATCTAGAAGTATGCAGGATTTTATCATAGCACATTATTAATATTTATCTAAAACTGTTCTTATTTAGGCAAGTAATGTGCTAGATGTATAACATAAAAAAGTAGGTAGAGAGGATTAGCTGTAAGTTTATAACCATAAATCAAGTAAGTGCCAGATTGAAAGAGAATTTGGTAATCTGCCACTCCTTCAAAGTCCTGTGTTGCAAAATTAGTCTTAAAACATTTCTTCACACTACTTGATAAAGATAATGCTTCATCATGTATATCCTGTTAACTAGTTGATCGAGTTGTTACCAGAAGTTAGTAAATGATTTAAGAATTTTTCCTGCTGAACAAAGCATGTATTTAGTTTTAAGAAATTAAGAATAGGATGTAAAAAAAAAAAAAGATATATGGATGCAAAAGAAATAAGGCTTAGGTCTTGTTAACTTTTATCACTCATGAAAATAGAACATTGCCACCCTGTTAAATAGAAGTTTAGGGCATGCTTAAATTCAGAGGCAATTAAAATTGCTATTGTGGATTAAAAAAGCTCTTAGGCAACATTTCTTAAAGATTATGAAAGACTTTCATAAGAATAGAATGCATTTAATATGAAACAACATTGAAAAGTTAAATTTTAGTTAAAATATTTTAATATAAGTAGTATGGCAATATAGTAATCAAAATGGAGAACACAATTTCTCAGTGTGAGTATATATTTAATAGTTGATATATATGGAATGTTTTACATAATTTTTATCATTTGTCTTTGTTTAAACAGGAGAGCCAAATTGAAAGCTGATAGATACTGCAAATGACCAGAATTGTGTTTCTTTCTTCTCCTATTTGTTTTTTTCTGAATAAAATAATCAGTGGAAGTGTTTTTACAGAGCTCTTGGGCTGTTACGGAATTATTGCTGAACTAGTAGCTAGTTTAAATAAGATTAATCAAGTTTAACCGAGATTCCCCATGGGTGTACTTTTTTAGTTAACTGCAGTGTTTCACATGGAATTGAAACAAAGTACACAGTGAACATGCCATAGAATTTTTTCTCTTTTCTAGATTTTCTGTCATAAAGTATGAGATGCTACTCTGTGAACCTTGTGTTTCTTATGCAGTTTATGGAATCTCTTATTGCTTTACAGTTTTACTTTATATTAACTTATACCATTGATTCTTATTGGGACCTTTAAAAGGAAGTTAGAAGCTCCCACTCCAGTCAACAAGGCTTTGATTCTGCCTCCTAAATATTGCCCAAATCACACAAGCCAAACAGATATCAGACAAAGTGGGTGGGAAAAGAGAAAGAAATCAGGTTTTGGCAGTGGGATGGGAACAGGAGAAATTACAAAAGAGCAGGTAGGCTCAGAACAGAGAATAAGAGTAAAATTGGGAAAATTCTCTACTTAGAGCAGTTTAGCCACAATGTATCTGTATGTAATGTTTTTGTCCTCACCTGTAGAGAAGGACAGGATAGGATGAGAACAGAACTATTAAAGAGGTTCACATACTACCCATTGCTGAGGTCTGCTATTCTGAGACACCTTTATTCCTAGCCTATGTCTCTCTGAATTCCTAAACACAGTATTCCAGATGTCGTCTAACCCTGTGAGTGTTCCAGAATCCAGGTCGTGTATCAGATGCCTGGGCTTCATCACTGGAAATTCTGCTTCAGAAGGACTGAGTCTGGCTGACGCATCTCTGTATTTTTACGATTCCCCATGGATGATGCACAGCCAGGGTTGAGACCTGACCTAAGGTGCCAGACCTGTTTAGTTCTCAGCCTTTGTATTCCAGAGCTACACGGCCCCTCTACATCAAGGAAGCTAAGCTACCAATAGCAACCTTATAAAGGAGCTCTTGCTGTAAATCTAGTCCTAGCTTGACATTCCAGTTCCAGTAGCTGGATATCTCCCCATATTGTGTTCTTCTTCCTCTGATCCTTAGGCTACTCGGATCCCCCAAAGCAGTGGTTCTCAACCAGGGACTAATGTACCTCTTAGGGGACATTGTGCAATGTCTGGTTGTGACAGCTGGGAGAGGGGGTGCTACTGGCATTTACAGGGTTACAGACTAGGAATGCTGCTAAACATTCCACAAGGCACAGGACAGCAGCGCCCCCACAACAAAGAATTTTCCAGCTCAAGATGCTAACTGCCAAGTTTCTGACACCTGCCCTAGGACTTAGTCTGTTCCTTGCTTTTGCCAGCTCCCAGCCCCTAAAAATAAACAGTTCAAATTCATATATATAAGAATCATCTAAGGTACCTGTAGATTTTCAAGACCCACCCTTAAAGATGCCAGCTTAGCAAGTCTAGGATTGTTTCCTAGAATTGACATTTTAACTAGCACTCCAGGTAATTCTGAAACAAGTGATCTGAACTATACTTTGAGAAACACTACCCTCAAGAGATTGAAGTCTTGCCTCCAACACTAGCTCGGTACCTGAGACCATCTGCCAGCTGACTGATTTCCCTGGAACAAGCATTCTATCTGCCTCAATTTCTGAACATAGTGCATTCCTGGATTCTCTGTCACCATGCTCACCCTCATGCTTTCCCAGGTCTTGTCCCATTCCAGAGAGCAGAACTAATTACAGGTCCTGACAATTGGGAAGATACAGATTAAAAATATGCACTGCCTGTCCTCATGGAGTTTATGCACTACTGAAGGAGGACAGCAATAAAAAATCACAGGTAACAGATTAAGTGTTCCTTCCCCATTTCTATCATTACACTTTACTCCAACCCCCATTACAGCACTGAAGGCAGTCTGGCAGAATGACAGGAGTCAACAATAAATACATCTAATTATTGTCATCTGGTCCACATTTTTCTTCTTGTACAAAAGGATGTCATGAAAAACTTTGCTTAAAGCACTGTCAAAATCAAGATATATTCTGATCAAGCATTCCCCTGATTTACCAGTCCAGTAGCCATGTCAAAAAAGGTTTTATATATAATAAAAACAATAACCAAAGAAAAAGCTCCCTACATCCAATTTTTTTTGCCTGCTCACATTTCAGATTAGATAATTTCAGTTGTTCTTATCTTCACGTTCACTGCCTCACTTTTTTACCGTCTCCAAATTGCTGTTACACGCCATCTGGTGATTTTTAAATTTCAGACATCCTTTTTCACTTCTAGAATCTATTTGATCCTATTGTTGTTAATAGTTTCTATTTCTGCTGAAATTTCCTATCCATTTCTTCCTTTGTTTTGGGGCAGAGTTATAATAACTGCTTAAAAATCCTTGTCTACTGATTCTAACATCTGGGTCATCTTAGGGTCGGTCTCCACTGATGATCTTTTGAGTATGTTTCTTCATATATCTGATTAGATTATATCCTGGACATGTGAATAATACATTGTAGAAACTGTGCATTCTGTGCTGTTGTTCTGAAGAATTTTTATTTGTTATGTTTAGTAGGCAGTTAGCTTGGTTGATCTGAAGCTCCAAATTCTGTCTCCCCTATGGTGGGCAACAGCTGTGAAATATCTATTCAGTTCTTTTTGTTTTAGCTGGGCTTCTTGAAGCCAGCCCCAAGGATGTGGATTTTGGAGATCAGTGAGAGATTTGGGCAGTGTGGCTACAACCTTCTGTGACTCTCTCCTTTTCAGGATTTCCTTCTCACTTTCCAGACTCTTTGGTCACTCTGAACTCTGTACTCTGATTCCTCGACTAATGACTTAAGCTTCCTATAGGAGTTTTAATTACTCTTAGTGGCACTTGGTCTGCCCTAAGTTGAAAAGATGTTAAAAATACGTTTCCCCTCTTACTAGTGTTAACTCCCCTCAAGTTTCTGCATGTTTTTGGTCATTCTCCATTACCTTTAGATAATTTTTAATGTTTTATCCAAAGTTTAATTTTGTGTGTGTGAGAGGGCTGGTCTAGCATAAGCTGTGCCATCTACCATTATCTGCTCAAACTCTCATTAGTTTCTTGCCCTCTCCTCCCCAGTTAAGGACCTGCCTGGGTTTTCCTAGATACAGACACAAAACTCTAACATTCTCCAGAAAGAAGTTAACCATTACAATAAATTAATATATTCACACCTCTTAGGATAGGCCTGAATTCCAAAAATGAACTCATCATACCTGATGGCCCAGTACCTATCCAAATACCATGCAATTCCTGGGTCAGTCCCAGTCTGGATGCCAGTCAGTCCATGGCTTCAACTCACTATTCTAGCAGGAATTATATTTTTTCAGTTATTCTAAACCCTTAAGACACAGAAGAACATATTAAAACATTCCATATTTCATTAACCAAATTAGTAAGATAGGATAGCTTTTATAACAAGCATTGTTATATGATTGTTATATGTCATGATACTTTTTTAAATGGCATTGTCATAATATTAGCTTGAGGGCCTTAATACAGGTAACTTCCACTGTAATTTTTTCAGGCTCACTCCTGTTGAAATCCATTTCATTTAATGAAAAGATTAGAAACAAAATGTGGAAAAAAAAAATTCTACAATTGTATTTCCCCTTTCCTCACCCACCTATTGGCTTAGTTTATTTTAAAGTGCATATTTCATTAAGGGAACTTGATGGTTGTTAAGGCAGGTTTTGGTGTATTTCTGTTTAATTTTATGCCACTGGACTACTTCTCTTAAATATTGTTGAGGCTTATTTTCTATGATGGAGAAACAATATGCCATCTTTCCATTTAGCTTTGTGTTTCAGTGCTGCCCTTGTATTTAATAAAGGATAAATTTTCAGAGAGCATAGCCAGGACTTAATAAATTAAGATCTGCAGGTGTTTATTTTTCTTACCATGTTTTGCAAATCTAATGAGGTTTTGCAGTCCTGTTCTGAGTGCTGCTAGTAGAGAAAAAGGGGTGTAGCACTACTTGTTAGGGTTTATTTTTCCATCATGCAATTTCCTAATTCTGGTCCTTAGAAACTAAGTGGAACTGTAAGGAGGAGAACAAAGAAAACAAGGCACACCTCATTACTCCTGTAAAAAGGTGAAAACCTAAATATAAGTGGATGCCAAGGTAAGGAATCAAGTCATGACTTCTACTAGTTCCCTACCTACCACCTGACAAAATTAAGTTGTACAGCTAGTCAATCACCCAGGGAGAAAAACAGGCAATGCTTTTAAGCTTCTAATGTCTTATTTATTCTTTTTCTTTATTATTCTTTATGTTTGTGTAAGTATTAATACCTATTTTTTTATTCTGCTGCCAAATATATTCCAAGAGTTTTTTTATTTGTTTTGTTTTTTATTTTTATTTTTTTTAAGATTTTATTTATTTGACAGAGAAAGAGAGACAGCAAGAGAGGAAACACAAGCAGGGGGAGTGGGAGAGGGAGAAGCAGGCTTCCTGCCAAGCAGGGAGCCCGATGGAGGGCTCGATCCCAGGACCCTGGGATCATGACCTGAGCTAAAGGCAGATGTTTAACAACTGAGCCACTCAGGCGCCCCCTGTTTGTTTTGTTTTTTAACTGGTAGCAGAAAAACCCCAGGGATATACCCAGGTTCAGGAGAACTTAAAATTAAGATAATAGTTTAACAGCCCACCAGCATTCATTCAGCTTGATATTACCTGTGTATATAAAATGACTTTCTCAAGTGTGGTGCTTATTTAGGAAAGACCAGTGGACTTCAGACCAACCTAGGCTGTTCTACACAGCACCTCAACCCTAAATCCTAATTTAGATCAGCTTGCACAGCAGCAGGAATGTTTTTCAATTTTCTATTGTTGTGTAGAAAAAGAATTTCCCTATCTGTCTACAGAAACAGAACCTTCCTGCATGTTCCCTTGTTCTTCATTTTTAGTCCAAAAATCCTCTCTAGAAGGCCTCCTACATATCCCATCACGGCTGCTTCTACCTCTCCACCTGTGACTACCAACTTTGTTTTTTTGTGTTCCTTTTACTACTATAACCTCATTCCACACCAGTGTGCCCTTTCCATAGTATAGGAAAATGGACAAAGATTTAAGCATTTAACAGAATGCTTCTGATCTTTTTCCACACTGAATTCAGCTCTCATTCCAGTGCATCCAGAGTTGGAGAATTATATACCATGGCCCCAAGTACCAGTTTTGAAACTTGTCATTAACCCCACCCATCAGCT